CCAGGCTAGAACAAAACCATGATGCAATACTCCGCTGTCCTCCGTCAACTTTGTCGAGTCTTGTCAAGAGCGACGAAACTTTATTCCTGGTCATGCTCTTCACAAGGCCGTTTCCACTAAAAAATCTAGCGTCCTGCAGGACCTGGCCGGCGTCGGCATCGCGCAGAGCATGCGTTTTTGTGGCTAGAGTCTGCTTCAAAAAGTGCTTCCAGAAGGCAGCATGCGTTTTGGTCGCCAGAGTCTGCTTCAAAAGTGCTTACTGACAGCAGCATGCGTTTTGGTGGCCAGAGTCTGCTTGAAAAAGTGCTTATGGATGCGTTTTGGTGGCCAGAGTCTGCTTCAAAAAGTGCTTACGGAAGGCACCCCCGGGCCGAAAGTTTCGACCCACGGCACATGTTGGATGGCATGCAGACAGTGAAGGCTCCCGCGGAGTAGCGGAGTGCCGAAAAGTAGCGTTTTCCCTACGCCTGCTATCGGAGAAATTAATACCCCGTTTTAAAAATATAGTACTATAGTAGCTCCGGAGGAGGCCCCCAGCCCCATTGTGTCAGGAGTCTATGGGGAAGAGGGCGGGGTATGGGTGTAAGAACCCCAAGATGTTGGTGGGTCGAACTATCGGCCCGGCGCAGTATTCCTTAATTAAGGGGTATTGGGCTCTTTGGGTTGCACCTGTAGCCGCAGGTACGAGCAGCTGGTTTTCACCATCATGACTGAGTTGGATGCCCAGGCACTGCAAAGGGCGTGGGGTGCAGGGTTTGTGGTTTCAGGTCGTGTTGCTTTTGTCGGATCCTTTGAGATTTCCTTGGACTCTTTGCGCTCATGCAGTCCCCAAGGAATTGCATGGCTAGACCCTGAATCCCTCAACTCCCACCACCTAATATAGGGGAGAATATAGGGGGTCTGTGTAAGTAGGAGAAACGTGTGTAGCTCATGTGACAAGTAAAACGGCCTATAGGCGATGTGCATTTGCCTTTAGTCAGGCTCCTGTAAACCACCTAACCCTAAACCCTAAACCCTGCAGTCTAAAGCCTTAAATCTTAGAGCCTTTTTGCTGCAGGGTCTTTGGATTCACCGCAAGCACGAGGCTGGTCGCTTCCCGGCCTCAGTTGCTTGCCCATTTTTGGGCTTGAAGGGTTTCTATACTGCCTACTATTGGGTACAGGGTTCACAGGACCTAGGGTCAACAGAGCACAGGGCTCGCAGGCTTAGCGTGCAGGGTGCGCAGAGTATAAAGGTGTCAGCGTAGCAAGATGCAATACGGTGTTCATAGGGCTTTCAGTTTAAGGCTTATCGGGTTCAGGGGTCAAGAGGGCACACAAGGTTTGGAGTCACAGGGTTTAGGCTTTGGGCTCATAGAGATTTGTGGTATTAGCTAGGGCCTAAGCTAGGGTTTGGGTCTAAGAGGCAAACAGGTGAAAAGAGCGCAGCTTGTGTCCTTGGAAACTGGCAAAAACCTTACACGTCCAACAAATCAGACAGTGCCGAGAAACAAAGCCAGGAAGCACTGTGCACAAGCTCTTGCAGCGACACAGCTGCCCAAGTCCTGTGATGACATGAGGACTAAGAGCTTGTGGGTACACACAAATACTGGGCGGAACTCCAGATTCTGAACTCTTAAAATCTAGCCGCAGCTTGCTTGCTTTGGCTGTCTTTAGGGTTTTAGGGTTTAGTTCACGCTTCAAAAAGGGGTTTAGGGTTTAGGGTGCAGAAACTGAGCATGAACTTGAATCACCGCCTTGCTGTGAAATTCAGCCCTCCAGGCCCCCAGCCGCGAGCAGCAAAACAGAGCGACTTAGGGGACCACCATGTCTGCGCAACGCCCCTTGAAGCGTTCCAAGCATATTCACACACACACACACACACACACACACATATATATATATATATATATACATAAATATGTATATACATATATATATATATATACATATTTGTTATTTGTACATAAATGATGCGAAGTTTCTGAATTGCATACCTTTTATCTCCTCTCTCTGGCTCTCTCTCTCTCTCTCTCTTTCCTCTATCTCTCGCTCTTTCTTTTGCGCGGTCTCTACTTTGCATCTCTCTCTCTCTCTCTCTCTTCCCTTGTTCGATTGGAATAAGCTTAGGATTAAGGGGAAACCCCTGAAGCCTAAACCCTGCCCATTGCAGGCCCTGAAGAAAGTTTTTGGCGCTGCGCCCGAGGCCTGTGCCGTGCCATGACCTTGATGCCACATAGGGCGGAGCTGCTGTCAAGCAAGGTGTACTTGGAGGTTCATGGGACTTAAGAACCACTTCTAACTGGGCTTATAACCCTACTTATAATACCCCTAAAGGGCCTTATAGGGGGTATCCCAATTATAACTAGGGTTATAAGCCCAGTCATAGGTGGTCATGAAGTCCCATGCACCTCCAAGTATCGAAGAGGAGCTCCAAATTGTGTTTCATTCAGCTCCTGAACAGGCCGTGGAACATGCACGGCAACATGTCTACAGCACGTGGCATGGCGGCAGAAGGGGGGCCGGGCAGAAGAAGGACATCCCGATTGGAGTCAGCAATCCTGAGCTGGTTGTGGTGTTGTTGAACTGCTGAGAGAGGAAATCCCGCTGGCTAGAATCCAAATGCA